ATGGACATGGAAGCAACCATGGGATGGAAACCAACATCCTGACACCCCGGGCTTTCATAGCTGACTCTTCCTTCAATATGTTTTGCTGCTGGTGAACAGAAACACCGCATAGCGCAATACTAGTCTTGTATGTCCACCCCTATTTGGATTCTCGTGCAATCGCACACCAGCGCTTTGTTCACCTTGCTGCATCCTAGCGAAACACACTCAAAATACAAGCGTGTGGCAAAATGCATGACTGCATGACTTCATCTTTTGGTTGGTAGTCCAGGCGAAATCGAACATGAAAACAAGAGCATGCTTGGAGGGGCCAAACTGGACACGTGCTTCCACATGACACAAAGGACAAAGTTAGGTCGGAGGTCAAGCCACGGCTGTTTCCGCAGGAGGGCGATGAAGCACGGAAAGCCAAATCAGCTGCCTTGGGCGGGCGGGCGAGGCAGAATGGCAGCAGCCTGCCACCCAAACTCGTTTTCCTGATCGCAAGATCCCTGCTGAAAGGCTCAAACGGCTGGGTATGCAATTTCCATGGTGCCTCAAGTGACCAACTCAAAGAAGCCCGATGCAAAGAGACCGCATAGCGGAATCTCACGTGGCCCCTCAACGCCTTCGCCCGAGGCGCTTGGCATAGGGCAAAAGCTGCCTCGGCCGCAGCTCGTGTCTCAGGGAGGCGATGGGATGCAGCCGCCCCGCTGCGCAGTAGCGGACCCCCGACGCTCGCCGGTAGACCTCCGGCGAAGAAATGGCGAGGGCGTGGAGGGACTGAGCGCGGGACTTAGGAGATGGGGGGCTGGATGGCTTGAGCTGCAAGTCAGCCTCTGGCTGTTTCAGCTTCATGAGTCCCCTGGATTTTGCAGGCTCCCCCCAGGAAAACGCTGACTTCTCTTGCGAATGTGAACAGTGTGCCTGCAGACTCGCTGGCTGGAGACTTTCATGACGGATTTGAAACCACCTTAGCCGTCGTGGATGACAGCACCTTCATCGCACCAGCCTGAGAGCGAGAATCACTGTTGCCAGCCCCAACACGGGCATCACCGATCACCAGCAGCGTGCATCACCAGCGACCAAGCTCAGCTAGATCTTGTATAGTCTCCATCGGATTAGAGTAGAACCGCAAAAAATATCTCGATTTTTTGCGGCCTCGTTCACAACCTGCGTTCCCGCTCGTGTTTTTAGTTTTCGCCGGAACTGAACAGTTGAGGCACTGTCACCCTAGGAAAAGCCTATGGCCAAAAATAAAGTTCTTACAATAAAACAGAGCTCCTGCCAACGCTTGAGGCGTTTGCCATCCAAACCTTGGAAGGCGTGACCTGTAGTGCTTCGCAAGCCTCTATTTAACGTGGTGCGGTTGGAGGAAATGAAATTGGGAGGACTGCGAGCTTGGCCCGTTTTGGCACCCTTGCCACCTTTCAACGGCCCCTTTTGGCGCCTTGCCTTCCAGGACAAATGACGCGCCACGCTGAAGAAGAGGTCATCCGTCCAGTGGGAGGCATTGAAGCAGGCCGCGCCGGGCCGCTCGTTCTCGCGGTCCACAAGGATGGCGAAGTCGCTGTCCCCGTACAAAGTGGCCCACCAAAGGAGCAACCAAAAGTTCTCGTGGAAGTCGTGGTTGATGTTCCCCTCCGGACGAGCAATGGTCCAAACATGCTTCCTCTGCACAGGTCTTCCTCTCCTTCAGATCCCAAAACAGAAGTCAGAGCTCTATGGGCATCCTTCTGCTGGTCCCATTAACTCAACAGGTGAATGGATATGTCTATATACATATACATATATCAATATACGTATATATATATATATATATGACCCCCGGTATGATCCCCTGCTTTATGGGATGGCCAACCAATCAGCATGGCTTGGTTTGGACTCAATCACGGAAGTCTAGCCACCACGGAGCCCAACGCGGCCATGGAGCCCATACAATCAGCCTCAGATAAACCAAGATTCAGGAGCTGGGGGGTGGAAGGGGGGTGGAAGGGGCCGTTGACCATGGTGTCACTGCCAAACTCTGCACAGCTTGCTCGGCATCATTGCTGGGCTCGGTTGATCCCAGGCGAGCCGACTTTTTCCAAATCAACCCTGAGAACCTCTCCGCCACGCGGCGGCCACCATGACAGGCGCATGGCCAGCTCAAGTACTGTCTTGGATGCGAAGGGCACTGACATTTCCTTGCAAAGCGGCTACCTCTTCATGCTGAGACGACCAGACAGAAATACATTGCTTCGGCTCAGCTCTAAGAGCAACATGCCGCCTGTATGCTGAAGAACGACATGACAGGGGCAACAAGCAGCAATTGCTCGGTAAATATCCATTGTCTGTCTGCTATGGTGAAATATTATCTTAGCTGTTTCTAACGTCCAAGCCTTAGCCAGTTCCTTGCAAGGTCTGTGGCAACCAAGTTGCTTCAATCAGCGCAACCAGCAAGTGCGTTTGTTGTCAAATCCCAGCACCTCTTTTATACCCTCCCGTTGGTCTTTCGTGTTCATCTTCTTCTTATTATCCTCCTTCTTCTTCTTCTTCTTCTTCTTCTTCTTCTTCTTCTTCTTGTTTTTCCTCTTGTTCCTCTTCTTCGGTCTGGAAACCCGTCCAAAGCACTTCGACGCCGGCCGGCGATGCAGGTCGGTGCCTGGCACCGCGCCACCACCACGGCCACGCGGTCGTGGGGCAGCACCACGCTCTCGTGGCTGCTGGCCACGGGGCCGCAGCAGCCCCACCAGGGCCTTTTGCACACGAACTCCGGCTCCCCCGCCACCTGGGTGGAGAAAGAGAGAAAGAAACAAGAAGAAGAGAGAAAGAGAGAGAGAGAGCCCGCGCCCGCGCCCCCGCCCGCCCGCCCGCCCGCCCGCACGCAGGCAGGCATGCAGGCGCGCACCGCCTCCGATCACCCGACCGATAAAGCAAAGGAAGAAGATGAGATATGAGACACAAGGCGAAAAGGAACCAATATGGCGAGGAGTCCTCGTACTTTTCAAGGGTGCCATTTTGACGGGGTTCCTGAGCTCAAACGCAACCAATCCTGGCGAAGTTGTTCAGCAGCGTGAGTAGATTTGTTGGAACTGCAGCAGAAGGATATCGCGCATGCTTCACTGAAACGGTTCTTGCAAACTTAAGATTGGGATGTCACGATGTGCTTAAAGCAGCCACCTCAAACCATAACAGGCCCTCAGACAAGCCAATAGCTTCAGTATTCTTGAGCTCGAAAGCTATCGAAATCCGAAGCAACATATTCATGAGGCGGTTGATTCCAGCGATTTGGCCCCAGCACTAGTGATCAAGCCTTTGGCTAAGTATTGCATTTCAAGCGCTGCCAAGTCGCCGCTAAGCAATTGCTCTTGCACGGCTTGCTGTATTCCAAGTACATCTTCTCCAAGGGCTCCAAGGTTGGCGGTCGCAGCTCAGGGAGGTCGTCTTTGGACAGGCTGGTGCTCCCGACGCTGCTCCCAACGCTGGTGCTCCAGTCGCCCTGATCTAGAGGAACTGAAGTGAAGACACTCGTGATGTCCGTGGCATTGGGCCGCAACTCGCCCTCCGCGACGTTCCTCGGTAAAGCTAAGAAAGCACGAGGGGGCAGTGGGCGCCGCAGACCTCTTTGTGAGGTGGGGGGAACATGACCCTGTGGGGTATGTATCCTGGAGTGGCCATGTGCAACCCACTTGTTGTGGGTATGTCCACCTTTGGCTGATGAAAGTACAGCCGCAGAATCTGCTGATGGCGCGAAACACACGTTGCTCGATGGGGCTGCAAACAATGAACATCAAGAACACCTTGCGTGGGCACTTCGGATTGACGGAAAGTCGCTTACCTAGACTGGGCAAACTGCCAATCGACCTTGAGGAGGAAAAGACAAGAGTGAACATCGTCTCTTCTGAAGGAGGCATCATTCCTGGGTTGGAAATCAATTGTCATAAAAAGCGCAAACTTTTGTTCATAACACCGAAGGGTAAGTCACTGGAAGTTGCCAAACTATCAACTCGGCACACACACACACATGCGCACACGGGGTGTTTGCAGTGTTTGAGGTGTACAGTGATTCTGGCAGCATGCTTACAAATACCCGAGGACAAACCTCTGAGCACAGCTGTTTTTGTTGCCAGCAGTTGAGTAAAACTTAACGGCGCCAAAACAGAAAATTGAAGGAGCTGTTAGGCTTTTGAAGTCTTGCTGACTCGGCATGAACATTTCAAAACGCCACAACTTAGCTTCAATCACCAGTTGCTTGTGCCGGCACTCAAGTCCCTTGGCAACGCCGGGGCCAGTTCAAGGCAGGCTTGGGGTGCTTCCGGCTTGCAGTTGCGAAATTCTTAGACGGCTGGTGCTGGCCTTGCCGATCAACATCATCGGATTGCACAAACCGGCGATCACAGGGGGATAACTTTTGAAGAGGAAGGTCGCCTTCGTGAGGAGCAACACAACCTGCACATGGGCACCAGACCGAGAGCAGGATATCAACTGAGGAGGACAGGCAAACCCATCGCGACACGAAAAGAACAGATGGGTTTGACAAACCAAGGGTGTCAGGATGCCACCAAGGCATCAAAATGGCACTTGCCCCAAGTCACTATCCCAACCTCATCCAAGCTCTCCCTTTTGAAAAAGCTGTTTGAGGGCTGAGCGTCAGGTTGAGCGTCTCCCTAATCTTCGCGTCGCCCCTCCAATGGAGCGCCAGCAAGGCCAGGAGCAGAGCACCCAGGGCCAGACCCCGCTTCCACGCCATGCCATGCTGCGATTTGCAGCGGCTTGCCGCTGAGCCGGGGAGGTGTGCGTGTGTGCTTGCCTTTTTGAGGGCATCGCTTCTTGGGTTGAAGGGAAACCAATTGGAAACCCGCTGGTTCGGTGCCTCCATATTTGGCAACCCAGGAAAAGGTACGATTCAAAGGCGTGGGTTTGGCCAGGTTGCCGCAACGGCTCTCTGGAGATAGCTTGCTGCTCTGGTTTGTTCCCTTTGAAAGTTAATGAGTTGGGGCACACTGCTTTGTACAACCAGCACCCACGGAATGCAGGTGTCATCTTTTGCTGGTGGTGGGCAGGCAGAACTGTTACGTACTCTTTGGCTTTGCAGTATGGTCAAAACAACTGGCTGGATTGATATCATAGTCATCTGGCTCTGAGCGAGAAAGGGCCTCACAGACCCTGCTGCCGAATTGGAAAAGGAAAAGACTCGCTTACAGGGCTTACACCATGAGACCATTGCGGCCAAACAAGCGACGGCCGCGGCCAAGGATTCAATATCCAGCCTGAACAAGGTAGAACTGATGTTCAGGCTACCCTGTAATCCTCTAGTACATTGATTGACTATGCGGCCATCCTTCTAAGAAGGGCTCCTCGCATTGTGGTCATTTGGTAGCTCTTCCAGATGGAGTTGTGGCGGAATAAGACTCTGATGCAGCTCAAACAAACACACGGCTGGCACAAAGTAATCATGACGTACTTTCACGGAATCCGCAGGGTTCACAATGACTGCAAGCAGCCAAGAGGGCGGGTATTCTAAAACAAGTCTTGTTGATCAAACACCGCCCATGCCACTTTTGCAACGCTCCAAACAACCCGGTCCTGGCTTCCAAGGCTTCGTAGGCCTTGAAGTGCGATTGGTTCGAAGTTGTACCTGCTCGTGAATTGCCAGCATGTCGTGTGCATTTGTCGTCACGATGTTGTCCACGAACTATGTGTAAACTGGATTTGCGCATGTACCCATGAGTGCACATGTGATTTGTGTTCTTCTTTTTTAAGGTACTGCGGTCCTCTTGAGGCACACAGACTTGTTTTGAACACAAATGCGCTTGTCAAGCAAGTTTGGTTGTAAGTCCATTTACCCCAATGCACATCGTTCAGTAGTCATTTGCCTGAGTAATGCAGATCCCACCAAGGATAAGCTCTGCTTTCTCAACCCCAAAGTCCTTTATAAACAACTAGAATTGGGCCAATGATAAACCATGCTAGGAAACCAATTCGAAACCAAAACACGTCCAAACATGAATTTGATTTCTGTCTAAAACTCTGACTCTGCTGTGCCATTTTGAGAGCGATCGGGCCCTCAAAGGCGGGGAAGGGAGCCCATTTGGTCCGATGGTTCGTTCGTCTCATGGACCGAGCTCCATCGTGAGCATCCTTCGCCTTTTCAGACTTGAGTCTTCTGGTGACTGCCAGCACGGCCAGGACTTGATACGCTGCGCGTCAAGAGCGGAAGCCACACCCGCAAATCCAGTTGCCTGTGCTTTCTTGACTCGTAAAGTCCACTCCAAGGTGAACTACCCGGATGGGTCTGTATGACAGTCAATAAACACGAACATAGGTCCGGTGAAATTATTGGGTCATCACGGTCAACCATCTGAAAAGGATACGCTCATGAAAACTGGATGGGCTGGGCCCTATAGCATCAATGCACGTGGCTTCGCAGTGCAGCATCTTTGCTGCAAAGGGCAGGCCCCTGTGAGAAGGACCCTCTCAGAGTGCCAACCAGCGGCCGCAAAAAAAGGCACGCGATGCAGATCGATCGCGTCCGCTCGAACGCGCCGGTCGGCCCCTCCTGAGGATCGGAATTCTTTCCGAGCTCACAGAGCGCTTCAGCGAGTTGCCTATTGGCTCCTAGTGGAAAAGATGTCTAGCCTTCGCGCTTGTTTCAGTTCACTGTCAGCACAAAATGTCAATGCCATCTTATCCTGGCCTGGTTTTTCTTTTCTAAGTTGGAGTCATAAATCAGACCCACACACAAAAGAAACACACAATCGGAAGAACCAGTACTTCAAACCAGTCTCGGTCCTGGGAAGGTTCCCCCTTTTGCCATTGGCGGCCTCCAAAGCCCCGAAAGCGGTGGCAAGGCCCCCTCTCCAAGTACATGGGGCCGGGGTTCAGTCTCCAAGCCCATGGAATCTCAGCTTCCAGAAAGGCAACTCTTCCAAGCCCGCATCGCCCTAGGCGATCAGAGCCGGGGTGAGAAGGGGTATTGAAGCGATCCTAGACGCAGGTGTCGACTCAAGCATCGAAACCCAAATTGGATGGCCCAGACAGATAACCGGTCAGTCCAAGTTGTTCTCAAAGACGCCAAAACAAGGAAGAGCCTCGCCATCATTGAGGTTGGTCCATGCGTGCTCACACAACTCTGCGACCGAAACTAGGCCAACAGGCGTTTTAAGCGATTCAACTGACGGCTGATATGCACACCGCAGGCCGGCGCAAGTCCTCCATGGTGCCTATTGATTGTGTGTCCGCCTATGGAACACCAGACTTTGCGACGAGGGCAACTTTTTGGGGGAACGAACAAAACTTCATGCGGCTCTTGCTGCAAACTGCGCTGGCAAAAAGAGCCGCACGCAAACTCAAATCTCTGACACCCGCATCCAAAGGTCGCCACCAGAGCCCGCAGCAAGTCGCTTTGGTTGCCAAGCGCCATGTTGGATCAAAGAACGAAACCAAATCATCACCCCCGTGATCCGAAAGAAAACGACCTCTCGGGCGGTTTTTTTTTGGCTACCCTTCTTGAGGTTTGTTTCAAGGTAAACCGCTAGGAAAACCACAATTTGGGGATCCCCCTATTTTGACATCTACCATATGTACCCAGGTCAAAATTGGACGCATGTCGCGTAGCCCACCGACAGGCTCCTTTGCCGATGCTGCTCCAGCTTCATTTTGCCAACAGGAAAGGACTATCCAACACATCAGATATAAACTTGAACCCAAGGTTCGTCTGAATTGCTTTCACAATGCACTCTTCTGCACTTTAAACAGCGAGAAAGTGTCATTTGGTTTTGCACTGGAAGCATGGCTGTCAAGCTATGAATACCTCCACAGCGTCTGCAGTGGAAGCCCCTCTACCTCCGGAAGTGAACAATGACATAGTGAAATGGCGATGGGACAACATGTTCTTGATGTACAAGTAATGTCCATATATGTCCATGATACAACATACGTCTAGAAACTCAAGCGGGACATGCCCGGCAAAGCAAGAAATTCATTGTACAGCCTGAATCCACACAATAACGTGAAATAGGAATGGCGTGAGCTGGTGGGGCTTACTTGCCTCAAACACATTTCCAAAAGCCACAAACAGCCAATCAATCCACCATTGCGCGCAACCAGGTAGCCAGGAAACCTGAACTTGAAATTCACTACTGTGAAATTCCCACCTGATCAACGTGTCAAAGGATTGGAGCTGTGGCACTTTGAGGGGTGTTCACATTTGAAGGTCTTCTGCGGACTCGCCAAAAACACGCCGACAGGAGCTTGGAGATTCCCTGCAGGAGGCCGAATGCCGGCGATCCACTTGTCGCAAGCCACCCTATGATGACGAAACATCGGCTCGAGGTATCTGTTCTACAGAGTTGCCATGCTTTGCATTGTGCTATCTGGGTTTGTCTCAAAAGAGGGACCCCCCCTTTTGGCATGATGTTACAGGGACATGAAGAGGAAGCCAGCCACCTACTCCCCCACCTGTGAGTTGGTGTTGTGCAGCTTTGCAATGCAAGACACCCATGTGATGTGACCATCGCTGCGATCCGTTTTTGGTTTGGGGAGTTCCTGCAGGGGCTCGCAAGCATCGCGCCCTCGTGGCATTTGCTCTGCAGGAATCAAGAAGCATCCGTATCATGAATTCAGATCTTTCCGGAATGGTGACTGTTGGCCAACCGTGGAAAACGTTTCGGCTTGAAACGAAGTGATGCGAAGTGATGCGAAGTGATGCTTCCAGCTCCGGACCCTTCAGTCCAGTTGCCCTGGAGCTTTGACTCCAGAAACTCGGGAAAAACGGGATGGACGTCAGGAGACAACCGCACCTGACCGCCAGGAGACAAGAAAACGTGGTGGCAAAACATGGTGGCAAACAACAACTGGATGGAGATGCGTTGACATTGAAACGGGGTTGGGCCTATCACTTTCTAACACGATCTAACAGCCTAATGTGGCAAACCCATAGATGTAAGGTTACAATTCTCCAGGCCATTGCTAGACACAGTTGGAGCAGAGCGCTTGTGGTGCTGGGCCTGTGTTTCTTGCTTTTTAATGTTGGTGCTCCGCTGCCTGCAAACGGGAGCGTTTCTGTTTCGTTGCAACTGCAGACAAGGACGCAAACTTTTAAAAAGGACATCGACGGTCCATGGAATGCTGAAATGCTGCAACTTTTCAATCTGCACTGCTCACGGAATCGGCAGTAGCTCTTCTTTACGCACAAACTCCGGAGAAGCGTGAACCCTTACAGAAGGGTAGGTCGGCAGCTATCGCCTTGCTGCTTCTTGCCAGTGCCAAGGGATTGCCTCCATGTTGGATACATGGTTGGGCCAAGGAGTTGATCCCTAGTCAGACAACATCTCTTTGAGCAGCCATCTTACTGACTGCATCTGGGGAGGGCCCGGTTTGGCCTTTAGCACCTTCGCTTCCACGGGGCATTGACACCCAAAACAGCTCGTGTTTTGGTGGAACCTGGCCAAGCTTCTATCCTCTTCTTCAAATGCTCGCGGGTTGCTCTTGACCAAGCGTGGTGTGTTCAAACATGTTGCTGAAATATCCAACTAAAGGCCATATTTGGACAGTGGAATAAGCTGCATGGGAGGAACAATGGCCTCAAGGGCCCCAAGACACAAGTGCACGCTGTGGTCTTCCTGTCTTACCTAACAGCAAGCAGTCACTTGAAACACTCGCCCAACACCTGAATACATGAACTGAGCCAGACACGCGCACACGCAAACAACACACACACAGACGATGGGTCACAGTACATGCTTGTGTAAAGACGAAACTCTGGAATACCCACCGATACAATGCATTTGGCTGCAACCCCCCCCAAAAAAAAAAAGAAACAAAAGGAGAAAACACAAGAAACGAAACATGAGAAAACGCAAGCTCCAATGACCGCGTTTCTCGATCCTCATGGACGACCCCTGCGCCTGCTCCACCGCACCCTTGACCTCGACTGTCGCCGGTTTTCAAGGGAGACCAATGGAACTATGGAAAACCATATCGGGGGGGTCCCCAATGCAATGATACACACCCAATTGCCTTGAGAGTCCTTTGGGCATTTCGCGTTGCATTGGGAATCCCAATGTCCAGCCCCCTTTTATAGAGTCAAGGGCAACAGCCATTGTGTTTTCTCCAAATGGCTTTTGCCACGAAGTACGCCCTCGGTATAGTACCAGTACAAGAGTGTCCTTGAGCGAACAAATTATTTTCAGCAACATCACGCCCTCATATGCATCAAACAAACCACACCACAAAGCCAAGAACCAGATCCATCCGCAAAGATTGATCCCTTTGCATACGTGGGCTACTCGCCTTCACTTCCAGCAACATGATGCCTTTGTCTCTTCGCAGTTTGCCAATTCTATGCCCAAATCGCAGTGTGGATAGGTTGGGACATGTGTCTCTTGCACTTGCTATCCGACATGCCTGAGAAAAACATGACGTGTTTTCATGAGAAAATGGCCGAGCCATAGATTAACGCATTCCCATGTGCACTGAACACACTTTGTAAGAACTAGCCCTGCACAGTCCTTGCAACACGGATGCTTGAGTTGCTGCAAACCTCTTCCCTTTAAACCCCATGTATTATCGTTTGGCTCCTCTTCTGCTAGGCCAGCACTAACCTCCTGTTGCACTGTCTGTGATACTTTTTGCTGCACGGGGCATTTTGGCAAGGGGGATCCCGCAAAAATACATAGCGTCAATGTCTCATCGGTTGCGGTTTAGTCTACCCTTTTCGCAGAAGTGCGGCAGCACAATCGGTCTTTAGCTTTGTCTGTCTTGCACATCGCACTCAGCGCCTGACATGTTGACGACCAGATTTGGGTCAGCTCCTCAGCCAAAAGCAGAGTGTGGGGATAGAAATTATGCGGGGATGCAGAAAAAAAAGCTGGTGCCTTTTTGTGCATGCATGTCAAAACAGAACATTTGTTAACATGGAGATTCATCCAGCTCTACCTGCAAGCTCATACTAGACCGTGCTTCGCCACAGAACACTGGCGAAAAGCATCAGTGCAGTTGATTTGGAATGCCTGTCAATCCGTCAGCCTTCCAAAGGATATATGTATATATATGTATATATCATATTATAAAGGGTTGTCCGGAAGTGCTTGTCCATACCCAATCAAGCAGGTGTTTGATAGTCTAAGCCTTGGAAGATCCAGCCCACCCCCCAACCTGTCGCGCTCCAAATGCCACATTCCCACCAAACAGGCCTCGCTTTGATGAAGGCTGGTTGCATCACCGGTGGTTTCTGTTGGTTACAGTCTTCGCGGATGATCAGCAAGATGAACAAGTACTCCCTCAGCCGGACAGTCGGCATAGACCAAATCACGCATCAAGTGGAGGCCCCGGAAGGGCAACCTAGGCGTGCATTTACTCCCTGGGAGAGAAAGGCACACCTCTTGCTCCCCACAAATCAGCCCCTCTCAGTTGGCAACCAACAAATGCCACGCACTAGTGCTGACTTCTGGCGCATTGTCGCCCACCATGAAACACTCACAAGCATGGCCTTCACTGCACATGTTCCTGCTCTGCAACAAGCACAGGGGCTTATACTGTCAAAGGAAATAGCATCGCAAGCCCAATTACAAAATTGTGGTGCAGGATCACGCTATGTGCATGACCTTCATGACCTCACCCAAAGCCAAATACTTCTTCTCCGCGCAGTTTTCGCAGCGCACGGTCAAGGAGCAGGCATTGGGATGTCTCCAGTCGCAATCAGTGGATATTGCTCACCCCAAAGTAGCAAATGATACTTCCTGTCAAGAGCCTGGGTCGTCTCCCTCCATTGAATGTCTGGCTTTAGGCAGGGAAGCAAAGTGCTAGATGCGTCATGCTCATCTGCATAAACCGTAGAAATCATGCTAGCAAGTGGTTGAATAATATGGCCATGGGTCAAAATCCCGTACCCCCAGTGAACATCCCAATCCACACTAAAATAGGTTCTAAAATGGGTGGTGAATTCACCTACCCCAAAATGATACCATTGGTTTTGACCCACAGCCATATCCTAGACCCTTATGAAGCAACGCCTCTTATCAGACTTGCTCGTTGGCTGCCCGAGCACTGCAGGATTCCTGAGGTCCCTGCCACATCGCCCGCACGAGACAGCGCTCAAACCGTGCCGGGGGGTCGTCGCCATCCCAAAACCTCGAGTCAAGGGATGCCAAGTCAAACGAAATGTCTCAGGCAGGAGAGTGTCAAAATAAGGAGTGTCTCATGAGAACTACCTGTGCAAAGGCTCCTTTTGGGACAGCGTGAAGAGAGATGACCAAGCAGCTTCAACATGCCCCCGGTATTTTATTGTCGAAAACATCTCCAACTCCTGGTTCGGAAGCGAGGCCTGCACACGCATCAAACGGGCCATGAATGGCTCACCCCGCATGGCTCACTGTCCAATCAAGCAGCAGCTTCCAACGTGGAGGCTTGCAGCCGAATCCAAGCGATGGGATGTACACAACTGCGCGCTGGGATGAAGTGCTGCCTGCTCCCCTGCCCCGTCCCTCGATAAAGTTATGTTTATATATGCATTTACGTTCTACCTCATCCACACCACTCTCAAAAGCCTGGCCCACCATCGAATTTCGGACCCTTGCATGAAGGAGCAGCCGATGCAAATTGTCCACGTAGTGGTGGTAGGCCGTTCCAAACAACCTGCCTCTGAATTCCTGAAAGCCGCTCATGGGAAAGCCCAAAGCCCGCCAATTTGTGCTAGGCCGGCTGCTCCAAAAGCACGTCATCGCATTCTTCAGGCGTGTCCTGGCACAAATCAGAAAAAGGACACTGTTGGTTGCGTGGCAACAACTGGTGCTGACTCATCCGGCGTTTTTACACACAAATGCACTGACACTGTGCAGCAAAGTGCTTGACTTATTGCATCAAGCAGTTCGAAGCATGATCACTGAAAGCGCAAAACCAGCCTGTTCTCCATGCTCGTTGTTGGGATCTTTGTCGAGCCGACTCGCCCCACAGCCCCCGCATTGTCAACCTTCGGACAACCCAATATGACTTTTGGTGTTCGAGACATCTCCCTGAAACACAACCATGGGGGCGAACTTCTGCCTGATGGGTTCATTCACACATGGGATCTTCTTGCTCATTGGGACTCTGAGGCCACGTTTGGTGGCGATTGGATGGAACAAGTAGCCAAGTTTCCAGCCAACAACAGCGTCCCTTTCACCCCCACAGCTAGCCCCCTGGCCCCGGCTCCCTGGCCCCAGCTCCCTGGCCCCAGCTCCCCTTGCGACGTCCTCCAACACTGTCGCGCGCCGCGGCTGGACGTCTCCGTTCACGAAGACCCAAACAGTCTGGGCACCGAGCGGTGGATGGCGTGGAAAATGGACTCATTGAGTGGGTTTTTCGTTTTCGTATCCCAGCCACAAAGGCTCTGCTTGGATGGGACTGCAGCGTGAGCCAGACTTGTCACTTTCCGTCTTGGGAAGGCCCAGAAACACTCAGGCTCCGGAGTGCGGGGCCTGGGATCAGGTCAAAACGCGAGCTCATCGCATGTCCTATGACTACCTTTGATCTGTGGCAGCTCTTGATTTGGTGACATGATTGTGATCTTTGAGGAATTGAATGCTTGGAGCCGGAGACGCAAGAAAAAAAAGTGCTTGTGCGAGTGCTGACCAAGCCACTGCTTTTAACAGCCACGGCTTGCTAAACATTTCAGGAAAATATGCCGCTCGAGAGCGTCTTGTATGCATCAAAGTGAAATTAAGTCTTGCTTGGTTGTGTGTGTCTCAGGCACGGACTCACTACTGCTCGTCACCCGGAATAAGCAACATGAGAAAACAGTGATTTCTGACTGTGACACATACCGTGTGTGTGTGTGTGTGCGTGTTTTGAGTCTAGTCGCTTGTCCCAGTCGACCTACCTTCATCTCTCCTCTCCACCCCGAAGGCGCAAGCCCCGCCTGCCGCTCCTCATAGAACTCTCGCTTCACCTCTTTGACCATGCCCAGGCACTGGCGGGATGTCCCATGCTGGGAGTCCGCACGTCTATGCTCAATATTTGTATTATAATATCTTTGATTGGATGAATAAATCGTATCTTTCCTTTGGATGAAATCTAATCTAATCTAATCTCATCCAAAGGAACATCCAACCAACAGTGGCCACACCTCTTGCCGAACAAACTGTGCCATTGTTGGATTGCTCTAGTCATCAATCTACTCGTCAAGGATCGACCTGTCTGCCAATCTAAGCACCTAGCATCTGCTAGCTATCTGCCTGTCTACCGACAAACGAACTTGTGAAACAATCTAAGATCGCTTGTGTCGAACCAGGGTGGACTCGAACCACCAATGACATGGGTGTTCAAGCAAGCTAATGCTCGACAGCAACATGACGCCATATCCATTAGGCGACTTTTCCCGTGCACCACAAGCAAAAAAGAAGCTAACATTGAAATCTACATCATTTAACCGAGCTTTGATTCCGACGCAAAGGCCGGCCTTTGCCAGCAAGGAATACACGCTGGAGGAGCCGCGCTCCTGTGCGGTAAAAGTAGTGCAACTCACATGGGAGAAAACACATTGTCATCAGGCGGGCTTGCATTTGATAGGGTGATGTCACAGGGTTGGTTCAGATGGTTGAGGCTGTGCCTTGGATCTCTCCGGGTTTAGAGCAATAGGAGTTTATTTGGAGATTGAGGGTTTGTTTTTATATGGAGCGTAGGGGTGTTTTGGCGGGGTCAAGGAGAGTCTTGGGACAGTCTTCGTGCGCTTGAGGTTTGAAGTGGGCTGGTGGGTGGTTTGGGCGTGGGGTGCATGAAACCTTTAAGAGGGATTCAAACGAAATTTCGGATCAGAAACAGATGGACGGATGGACGGAAGCGCCACTAACCAAGCGGCCGTCAGACCGGATGCTACCACAGTCTGGCCGCCAAACCTACAGTGAAAAAAAAAAAACGGCCCGCAATGAGCATCCCCGGAAAGCAAACAGGGAACCTGAACAAAGGCCCCTTTCAACAGAGAATAGCCTTCCAGACCCATGCAGATTCTGTTTGCTACAAGGAGCTGGCAGGATACCAAGCCAGTTCCAATAAGTGTTGGTGGTGCTAGTTGTCAGGGTGAGTCACGATCCCCCCAAGAACCAGCCAAGGATACCCAATGCAAAATGCGCCTGGACACAAATGAGCTGACCGGGTGCATGTCCAGCGGGGCCACCAACTCAAACTGGATTCATGACCAGTCATCCTTCCAGTCCCAACCTCGCCTGGGAAAGTGTCAGCAAATCCTTCCCCGCTTTGTTCTCCCACCTGGCTGACGTCTCTGGGAATCAGCCAGAGGTTCCAAACCCTCTTCCACCTTGAGGGGTACCAGTGGAAGCCGCGTTCACCCTCACTGCCGAAAACTGGTCGCAGAAACACAGAAACGGGTGTGGGCAAAACTCAACCCTGAATACCCAAACTTGCTTGTGGCGGGTTCATGCTGCTGCCCAGTCAAGATTCGGAAGCCAACTTGAGCCCCCTGCATGTCATCATCCAAGGCAACTATCACTTCATAAGTCGCGCCATGCAGTCACGTTGAGTCAAGTTCCACAGTAAGTTTCTCCAAGCATGCAACGGTGGTGGGCAGCTTCAGGCCTGGACCAGACTGTCCGCCGCACCGACTTCAGCACTTCTGCCAAAGAGATGCAGTCGTCCTGGGCGCAAACACTGCAGCCCTGAAAGCTAGCGACAAACGGCGCATCTCCTCAAATCTCAAGCTTACGTAAAGCTGACAAGAACAATCCTTGTCTCGCCATCTCATGGGCCCTCAGCATACCTAGTGGACGGGATGCTCCAAACCAACGTGTTTTCGGTGGGCACCACCTTTTCGCAATCGATTTGGTCCAATCAATCTACAACTTCTACAAATCCAAAGCCAGAGATAAGGATCCCCAAGCAAAACCGTTTATCTTGAAAACACTGCCAAATAAACTGCTGATGAAAATGTGTTTTTTTCAAAAAACAAAAACGTGTTTTGACAAATGTTTTTTTACATGTTGCCCTGGGCAGTTTGAGACTCCACGGGCATCATTTGGGTGTTTGAGGTTCGAATTTGCATCCCACTCTGCAAGGGAACTCCGCAGACACCCCCCAACAAACCACTTGGGAAAGACTAAGCAGACTCTTGCCATATGGGCAGAATTGATAAGGCTTCCAATTCCTTCCAGCCTTCACATCCACACCAAAAGTGCCTTCCGGTCCTGTACAACCGCCCGCAATGCCTGCGCTTTCAGCTTCTCAGCCTGCGCTTCGCCGCAACAGCAATGCCAGGTGGTCTGATCATGCAGGGAAACAAACATGTCACAACTAATGCGCATGATGGGTTTTGTTGAGATATAACCTGTCATGTAATATACGTGGTTGCATGTGTATAGATATCATCTTGTAAGATACCTACTCACACCTGTACGTACAAATACGAGTACATATACACTCATATTGTGCCTGCATATTTCCGTGAAATGCTTTATGTATCGGGCTCATGCTGCATAATGCCCAGTGCACAGTACTCCATGTCCCTGCAGGCTTTACCATTGTGGCGAGGGGTACAAAGGCGTGTTAAGCAGCGACTGAACAAACAAAGATGACAACCCAACTGCGCGATGCAAGCAAAAACACCCTCAGATTCTGGCCCCAATACAGCATGCTGATTCATCCATTTGCTTCATTCTTAATGGTCAGAACATCTGAGGATCTCCCTGCAGCACAGCTAACCAATCATAATGAACCAGGTGAGCCTCCGGAGTGCGTGCAAAGCAAGAACCAAAACAGTTGTTTGGCATATCCTGGCATTTCTCATGCGGTATGTCAATGTATATGTATTTTATGTTTATGATGTAAAATAGAAAAGTTCTTGCCTCCGGTTCCCTGAGTCAGTGGTGCTGAGCAATGCTTCGCCAAAATCGCCCCCACAGCCCCCGATGAAATGTGAAAGTATGCCACGCAACAAGCAACCGGAGAACACCTCAAGCAGGAGACCAGGCGACAGAAGACGAAGTCCCGGTGATCCGTTGCTCAGTGGGATGGAAGACAGGAGCTTTGCTCTGGTCGCTTTCATAACATGCGACTTTGAAGGCTTCAGCCTGATTTGCAGCCAGCATTCCTCCAACAAGTCCACACACGGCGAACGATCCGGCGAGTACAAACCGAAGATAAATTGAAATGGCATCGGCGATGTCCGGTTACGAGCATCACCAACTTTGTAAAAGGACATGCAAATTGGGTCTTGGCGCGAATATGCTCGCCAAAATTGTACAACTTGTGCTCCAACAGGTGACTGCCCTCATGCATTTTCCTGCCGGAGATCATTCATGCGCTCTTCGATGCTCTTAGTCTTTCTGGCTGTTCCGATCATCTCTATATTTCTTCGAGTCATCCGTCCGCACAAATCAGGCGTCCTCCACCCAACACAACATCTTCAAGTCAACTCACCAATATTCAAAGGCAAGGTTTGCGAATTCCACCAAATTCATCAATGCCATTCTGGGCATTTGAGAATCGGTCATTCCTGGGAACGTCGGTCAAATGAGCCATCCCCATCCGCCTCCTCCTCAGATATCTCGGGCTTCTGGTCGTCATCCTCGTCGTCGAAAGCGAAGTCTGCAGCCTGGCTTCGGCAGCTCGCTTCGGGGAAAACCCTGTCAAACAGTCCCTCTCCTGGCTTCAAAAACCACAACGGTTTGCAAGAGTGCGCGGCTCTAGCCAACAGGTCTGATGTTCTGCAGCGGGCAAAATCACAGATCCTGGTGTTGGGCGACACCCTTAGCCTCTGAACGGTGCAAACAATGCCCATGACTAGACTTGCCAGTGAAGACAAGCAAGCGAGACTATACTCTACACAACTGAATGCTCGCGAAGGGTCTACCAACCAGCGAGCGAAAACGACATTTACGCGATTAATTCAACAACATGGACTGGACTGGAACATCATCAATATAAATATCCCCAATCACAACCCTTCAACATGCTCAGACAACGTGGCATTTACTTGGTCACATGTTCAGATTATACCGGCTTCAGTTCAGGATAGGCTGAAATGCATCAAAATGACTGTCGGATGCCTTGCTCTTAGCCTCGTTGCCCTTCGTTGGGAACACCGGACATTCCATCAACTCCTACACAAGTCAAAGTCTCCGCACTTCCACCCTTACTGGGGCTTCCATTGGACGCAATTGAAACTCACCTTCCAAAGACTACTCTTCGTTTGAAAACAACTCCTGAGCACTTGAATGCTTCCTCATTCCCCCTCAAAGATCTCATTCATCTTGAAGCGTGCATGTTTGTCTAATTGAAACCAGTTGCAGGAGCCAAATGCGAGGCCATGCCACCCGTTGCCCTGGATTTCACGGCGCCACGGTGTACTCAAGGTTTAGAATGGCCAAAAGGTAAGCGCCACAATGGCAAAGTTCCAAGCCCTCGCCGGCCTTCACAAGTACCGGGGGCCCACGAGACTCCTCGCAAATGCGTGGCTGACGCATCCGCATTGACACGCACTGTACGGAGCCAACACGCGAGCGTAAACAGGGGGCCCGCGCAAACCCACCAAGCTGATCGTCCAGCATGGTGTGGCTGTTGCATGAGGGCAGGGTTCAAAGACACACCGACGAAGTCATCCACTTTGTAGAGTTGTGGTTTAAGCAGCGCGATGCCAACATAAAGAGCTCGCACTTTGCAATTCAGCATTTCAAGCCACAAAACAACAAGCCTAGTTGTCCCATGGCATCAAGGGCGTCAACATTACTCGATCCTCAACTGCTGGACAGTTCAACGCGCTTTGGGTACCGAAGGCGTGCCCCCCAACTGGATGAACCTACCTTCGAAACAACCTACTCATCTAGGGTGCTACACTGCACTGTATCAGCCATGGGGCCCAATCTACTGAACTGTCCATGCTGTGACACCTGCAAACAATTGACAGTCACCCAAAGATTGCTCCAGTTCTGCTGCTGCTGAAGCCATTGTTTTGGAGTGGAAACGGAAAGAAGTAGTTGTTCTGCTCGCCAATGTGCATGAAGCTTCTCGCCAAGGTGTTGTGGCTCAGCCCTCTCCTCTCTCGGACTCGGCTCGGGCATAGAATGTCGCCGAGGACGGCTAGCCTAATGGGCGACTTGGCACAAGCTCCTGGAATGTTCCTGCCTTTCAACTACCTTTAGCAGGCGGAGTCAAATAACAAACATGTAACATGTGGCAAAGTGGTGATTCAAAACAAGTGGTGATTCAACACTGCTAGCATGTTAACTTGTCTTTGATTGGCAAGGATCTGCAAAGTCAAGTTGTTGTCGGTTGCCTATTGGTTGTGTTCTGTCAGGTCGACCAAGGCTCCCTGGAACCCACACCTGTGGGTGTGCTTCCTCTTGATCAGGTTAACGGTGATTAGTTCCAGAACTTCAAGGACGGCGTGACGAAAGGGCACTTGCCCCAAGTGCTCTTCACAGCCCATGCTATGGAGCCCCGCATTCGTCTGAACCGCGACGCGACAGGCAATCAGCCATCTGGATCCCGAGGGATCCCCATTGTCAGTGCGTTCCCTTGGCCGCAGCTCACATCGACTTGCCCCGAAATCTTCGACCGAAAGCATCCCATCCGGCCTCAGTCATCGTTGACACAGCACCAGGAGGTGTCGATGGGAGCAACTGCTCTCGCTCCTGCTCGTGAACAACAGAGATCGTCTTTTGGAGACCCGGCAGTTCCGTCTGGGAGTCGTGGGTTGTGCCTCCATACAACGTTGGGACAAATTCCTTCCAGCAATAAAAATGATCAGAGAGTATTCAGTATACATTCATGCTATGGAATCGCCCGTGTCCATGCGCAAAAACAAAAACCAAGTCCATCTAGTATATTGGGGAGAGCTGATTGGGGCAACACCGGCCTGCAACTCTGCCCGAATCACAAGCCGGACAGCCCTCACATCAACCGGACATGCGCAGTGCCCAGCAACTCGATCTTGCTGCGCCTCCTGTGGCGGAGTCTGCTGTCGCATGAAGGGCGGCTTGGTCAAGGGCGGCGACTTCTGGCGGGCGCTACCACAGCGGAAAAACGGAGCGGAAGCTCTGAACCTGATCAAG